GGTAATTTAAATACACTAATGATTACAGAAATATATATCTATCCAATGCTCTTTTTTAAATCTAAAATGCCTTCAGGAGTTCCATTCCTCCAATTAACTTTAAAACCTTCAGCAAATCGTTGACGAAATCAACCACGACCTTACAGATTTTCCACTAATTACATGGTTGAAAAAGTCGTCAATATTTTCAGGCTATATAACAGCACAAATAACCTTCTGAAAGATACTAAAGTACACGTCTTTCAGAAACTATTTGACCTATTATTTTATATTTTGTTTAGGACTATTCAATCTCATCAAATAACTGGGAAACTAAAATAGTCCTGTTCCACAAGAAAACAATGCTTAATATTTCGTTGGACTCAATAAGCCTCCTTAACTGTCTAATCGAACCTACATAACTGCCAAATTCTAGATGGAGACCAATCATTGGAAAAAGGTTTCAGGAAAAGCTACATAGTTATCAATCACCTACAAACAGTCGACTAAATCGTAAAAAAGAATATATGCAACACACTCGCTGCACTCGACTTTATCATTACAAGGCCTTCGATTCAATGAAAGTCGAACCAGTCACCACAACTCTCAAACAGCAGGGCATCGATCCAGGCTACATCAGCTCCCTTCAGCATATATCTAATAGATGCAGGTCCTTCATGCAGTTACACAAACACTCTGTCCTTCCACTTAGAGAAAAGAATCTGCCTCGGAGACCCTATTGCTTTTAATCCATCTTCCGTAAAGTTGACTGGGAACCAAAGAATCTCAAGATCGTCCAACTCATCTGGTAACAATATCATACTTGTTGCTAAATCCTGAAATTTTACGAGAACTATTTTTCGAGCTCAAGTGTGCAAGCTTAATATTCGACCTCCACACATACTTCAAGAAAACCCAGATGGTAGCAGAGGAAGAATCAGGTGAATGAATAAAATCAAGACTGGAAACAACATCTAGCGCCATATCTACTGCACTAAGACGAACACGAGTCACCTGCGCCATCCAAGAAGGTCACGAGATCACACTGGTGTTCCGTGCCTTTAGCCGCGTAACTCCATCTTCGAGTTCAAAATCCTTCGATTACGAAGACTGACCCCTGTCACTTCCTCAAAGACCTGCAAACTGACGTGGAAGAATGCAGTTCATATGGCGAGATAATAGGACATCAGATGTACCTCGAAATTAATTATTCTTATATAAATTCGTGACTCTCGATATACCCACAGTTCCCCTTTTTCCACTCTAAGCTGCCTTATTACCAATGTGTCTTCCGCACTTAATTTCGACATCGATATAGCAGGGGCTATTGTACGTTATCTGAAATCATATCGATTGCCTTATGCCGTTCGTTATTTCTTTCCGTCAGCAGAAGCAGCCACCTTTGCGGTCAGTGGAAGCCTACCTCCTGGACGTGCTGCGACGCGGCCTCCGAGATGTAAATGAAGAGCGCTATCCTGTCCTTCGGGTAGTGGAGGCGGCCCAGGCGGCGGAGGAACAGCCTGAAGAAGGGCACGCGATCCTCGACGAACACGGCCACCTTCACGCTCGGAAGCTGTTGGCCTTCCTGAAAGAGTGCGAGAGGTGGGTATATTTGCTTAGTGAGAGAGTGATAATGGGGAAGGTAAAATGCATGGAACCCTTACGGTGCTCACTCACTCACGTAACCCCCTCCCCATCCACTCACTCGTTCACTCACTCACTCACTCACTCTCTCTCTCTCTATTTAACTATCTCCCTCCCTCCCTCTCTCTCTTTTCCTTTCTTTCTCTCCACCTTTAAAAAGCCTAACCAGAATAACTTCAATTACCCCTTCTCCTCCTCACTCACCCCTCCAATTTCCCTATCCCCTTTGCCCCCTCTACTCACTGCTTCCCTCCCCTCCCTCCCTATCCTTCCCTCCCGCTCCCCTCTCCCTCCCTCCTTCCTTCCTTCCCCTTCTCACTCACCCCTTGCCCTCTCCCTCCTTCCTTCCCCCCCTCCCTCCCCTAACCCCTCTCCTTCCCTCCCCTCCCCCCTTCTTTCTTTCCCTCCCTCCCTTCCTTCTTTCCCCTCCTCTCCCTCCCTCCTCCCCCTCAACCCCCTCCTCCCTCCTTTCCTTCCCTCAACCCCCCTTCCTCTCTCTCTCCTCCCCTCCCTCCATCCCCCTCACCTCTCCTCCTCTCCTTCCTTCTCCCCTCAACCCCTCTTCCCTCCCTCCCCCGTCACCCCTCTCTCACTCACCCCCAGCACCCGAGGACGCTCCAGGGGCTCGTCGGGGCAGTCTGGGCAGGGCAGCTTGAAGACGACCTCCCGCGCGACCAGGTTGGCGAGGCTGGCGGGCAGGTCGAGGGGCGTCCCGTAGAGGAAGGGCGGCAGCGTGAGGTCCTTGGCGTGCACGATGGGTCCCCGTTGAGGCGCGCGCGGTAGCCGAAGTTGCCTGCGGGGGGTGGGGGGATGGGTGGGTGGGTGGGTGGGGGATGGGGGGGGTTGGGAGAAGGTGGGTGTTATTATTATTATTATT